TATATATATGTATATATATTGAAATATTATACAATATATAATATATTGTAAATATTATATTAGACGAGTAATTAATGTTTACCTGTGATTGCGTTGCTGTCGCTGATGTCATCCTGGGCTTCCTCCTCTCATGTTTCCTTTTTATTGTTTCTTTGTGGCAATCACTCGCAAAAATATGATTTGATTATAATCGAACACGTACTAATTACCAGAATATGATGATCACGCGGTATTTTGCACAGTACTTCCGACGTTAATCACACACGACGCGCACTTTATTATGTATATATTACAACGGGAGAACAACGAATAAATCTCGTGAAATGCGTATTTTGACAAATTACGACGATGTATAAACATCAAATTTATGTGGTACGTTGATAAATATGGGGTTAATAACGACTGTATTTATTAATTAAAAATATCGCGAAGCTACTCGACCGAAGGCGATCCGTTCTGTACCGACGACGTTTTGTTAATAATCAAAAAATATTAAAATGACATTGGCAATATGAATCTGATACCGCGCAATATCAAACAAGCCAAATTAATGACTTGCTAAGATACGATAAACTGTCCGCAAATATCAAAATTCAGAATTGTACGCGTGATACAATTTAAAATACCAAGAAATAAATATATATTATTAATTAATAATTAATGTATATCATGATTTTCTGTTACTTCAATTGTTCGATCGAATATATTATTCCGTGCTCTCGATTCGATGATTGTAAATTAAGATTTAGATCGGAAGCGAGAGTTCAAACCGCGATGCGAGATATGTTCGATATCAAACATTAAAGAAATAATTATTACCCCAAATATTAAAATAAGACAATTTATAATTGTTATTGCTTTTATTTCTATTTTAGATAAATAGGTGAAACAAAATATCTGCCTAGATGAACAGCCGATAAGTAGCCTTGATACGTTTACGAGAGAGAACAACGCATTTATATCGTTCATCATTAATTGTATTAATAATCGTAAGGAATGATGGATATCGCGCTCCGAAAGATAATGACGACGCGAAGTGATTCGTATCGCTGCCTTCCTACTTGAGTCTCGCCGCGCAAATGACAACAAGGCATCATGGTAACCGCATGTAAACAATAGCGCGCTATACGCCACAGAAGACGAAGGCCAAACATAAATAATGTTATAATAAAATCATACCAATATAAAATGTTCAACGCGCCGTAAAATAAAGTCACACGGAATATTCTATTACTTAAATTGTTTTAACTAATTACTAACAAATCGTATCACAGTTTTTCGTCACTTAAATCAGTCAATCTTACGATTTATGTATTATTGTTCGTTTTCTCTCAACTCAAAATAAATCTTATATTTAAATCGGCAAAAATTCAAAGCATGTGTCACACAAAATATATATGCTTGTAAGGAAAACGAGTTTTATACGAAAAGATTGGATGGAATTACTATCAAAGGCTGTCAAGATATAAGAATTTTATCGATAAACAACATATAAACCTTCACGTACGAATGCCGACAAAATAATAACAGTCTTTCCGTTTCTCTGAGCATCGATCCTTGACTTATTCCCCTTCTCAATGCCTTACTAGCATACCATCAAATTTGTAAACAAGGACGCGTCACTATGTTTTACATTCTTGTATCCAAGCGTCATTGAAAAAACTTGTATCGCCTATGTGTCTATGTGTGAATATTTCAATTAAATAATAATTTATAATTTACTATCTTTTCAATATTTCTATTTAAGATATAATATATAATATAAAATCCATCTAGCTTTTAATAAATGACAACTTTCTACGATTATTGTAATTAGTGACTTGTTATATCGAAGTGACAGCTATTGATTAGAAATGTTTAACAATTAGAAATTTTCGAAAATATTTGACGGTATATGATTTGTATATAATTCCTTCAATTTATAATCTTATTTTGGATAAATAATAATATCGCTTAAATTTACTGAAAAATATTTAATGTTAGCTAAAATAAAAATGTATATGTTTATTTGCGATATAATACTGATATATTTAATAATTACTTTTGTAGTAATTAAATCATTAATTTAAAATATTTATAACGACAAAAGAGATTATTTCTCAATAAATTGATTGAACAAAATGATTTACAATTGATATGTACTTTAATATCTGCAATGTTTCTAACGCGCACGTGAATTTCAAACTAAATATTAAAACCTGTTAAATGAGTGGTGCACAATAGTATAGGTTCAAGAGAAACTTTTGACGTAGATAAACACAGAGACGAGTAAAATTATCAAATCTTTCTAAAATTTATCTATGCACGCGCACGTGAATCTGTGTGTAAAGAGATATAAATTTTCACACACAGTTGAAAGTTAGTATAACATTTTTACGCGTAATCTCGTGTGACTTCAAATTTTATAGACTTAAAATGCCCGAAGATAGAGAGACAGTACCAGTTTTAGTAGAAATCATACGTCTTCACTTTATGTATAGAAAAATCGGTACGGACAAAGTTACGAATTTTCACACGAGCAGCAATCTACCGCCACCAATTTTCATAAGCGACTGAGCAACTTCAAAAATTTCAAAGTTCTCAGAATGATTTGCCATCAGCAAAAACTGGCGCCATTTGATTTGTCGATCCAGAATATACAGCTTCGCGAAATTACAAAAATCCCGATTCGGATGCTAATTCACTTTATTTATTCATGTTACTATCGATTATTATGCAGCATTGCAATGCGAGAGTTAAAATCATATAGATCATAGATTTATCCAGCGTAAAGCATACATACAATTTCAATCTTATATATATAATAAATTTTTTGTTATAATACATACATTCACGATTTATTCATTTTTAAGAAAAAAGAATAAAACAATTATAAAAATATACATACACGCACACTTGATATATTTGTATAGTAAATAGTTTTCATCATGCAAACTCGACGTAACAACTCTAGCTCGTATTGCATCGCGTTCGACAAGCGGAGCTCAGATTGACAAGGCCGATACTCCGCCGTGATGGAAACCGTCAAGTTCCGCCACGTAACTGAATAAATCACAGATACACGACTACCTGTGGAGACCTGCGTTAATACCCGCTATGCGTGACAAGATGCAATTAATCCGTAATAAGCGCGATTAATTTAAGGTAGTTTTCTCTGCCATCAACTGAATTGAATTTAGCGCGATTTATCAAGCTGACAGAAAAAAATAATAAAAATATGGAGAAATCGAGAAAAGCAAGAGAGAATCCTCTTCATCTGATGTGGCAAACCAGAATGCAAAGGTGTATTCATGGGTAAAAACATCGATCGTGTGTCGGCTGGCGCGAAGTCGGTAGACGCGTGAATCTTAATTTGCCGGGTTGGTCCCTGTGGACAGACAATACTTCTCCGTGCGTTTACCGAACATTTACATAAGGCACCTTCCGTGGTATCCCATTCACTTTTCGAAGATTAATTCGATTGATTGGAATGACAACATAAAGCTGTTAGAAGAGAATTTTTAATAGTTTAAAATAATTTTTTAATCAAACTTTTTCAATAAAAAAGTATTAAAATTAATTACTGTACAAAATGTAAAATAAAAAAGAACAATGCACAATTTCTGCGGCATATGTTACATATAAATGTATATTACACATCATCTATTTTCTGTCTCAAAATCACCAAATGACATTAATGATTGTCGCTCTCGTATGTTTAACTGACCCAATTCTTTTCGATCTCTTGGCGATCGAGTGTCGTTTTCGGTGACCTGAGCTCTTCGTTCTCGTTGAATTCTTGGTAGCGCAGAGCGACAGTTAAAGAATTACGAAAAGAGGGAATGCCGTGGACGGAATAACGTCACGAAGCTTCGTCTGCACGGCATGGCTAATTAATCAAGCTTTTATAGTCGTCGTCCAGTTGAGCCTTTGACCACCGTCCATTTTGCCACTGTTCTCTCTTTCCTCCTCGCTCTTTTCTCCATCGATCCATCTCGCTTCTGAACGCACGCTTGATCTCTCCTGGACCATCGATGGAAGAAGATCCGGGAACACGCCACTTACCTTTGTACCATTCGTCGCGTTGCCCGTGCAATCGTGCAAGCGCATAAATTATTCATGTCGCGATTAATGCGATTAAATATTTAGGTACTCCGTTATTCTTTCACTTTAGCACGTCGCGCCTCTGTAAGTGCCAAGAGGGGATTATCATGCGCTGCCGCCTCGCGCAAACAAATTTTCGCTAGAAGTCGTCCCGACGCACAGCCGCCAACGCAACGGCGTCCTTAATTGGTGCTAATTGGACGGTTATACATTAAACGCGCGGATGTCGCGAGCGCGCTTTCTCTCGCTCGTAAAGAGGGTCACCGATGGCATTTGTTTGTGTGTGTGTGTGTTTTCAGTATATAAACGCATGACATAAAGATACTTTCTCTAATTCTTCAAATGTA